ATAGAGACTGATATAACACACCCAAGGCTACAGCCCTTAGATACCCTTCAAACCTGGAACAGAACCATCTTCTGGGATCACCTTTCAGCCAAACATTAGACAGGCCTATAAAGTGAACAAACAACACCTGTGAGGAATGTGCTCCTCAGAACAAGTGTATGAAAACAAAAGGGCAACATTTTCCCAAAAACAAAGTTCAGAAGGCAGGAAAGAAGGATGAATGCAAATGGAGAATCCGGTGAGGAACTGTTACATTAAAGGAATTGCAACTAATGTTGTGGGAAAAAAGAAAGTAAATTGTTGAATGGGAAACTGATTTGCTTTGCAGACTTTCACCCAAATCACAATAGAGTGCCCCCCCCCAAAAAAAAAACAGTTCACAAACACCCTGTCCAAAAAATAAACTTTGGGAGCAGTGAGTTTAAGTTAATGGAGGAGGTCCAATTCAGAAAGAAGGGTGAGAATGGTTGCCCAATTTAAAAAATGTAATCAACATCACTAAATTATATGTGTAGAAATTGTTGAACTGGTGTATGTTCTGCTCACAGCATCAGATCCAAGGAACAATCCCTTGGCCTGCTAAGGACAATTATAATCAACAGCTGTGGATGGGCAAGTGGTTAGTTGTGGACTCTGAAAAACTAGGTGTTTTCCACACATCTGGAAAGGTGTTTGTGCTTGTAAAATCAAAATATTGGGAATGGTAGGGATCTTTAAATAAAGTATCTAGTATAATCTTAGTACTGAGCCTATGTTGTTGATGCTGCTGTTATGTGCCATTGAGTTGATTCTAACTCATAGATCTTCCACAAAAGGCAGCAGGGTAGAAAGGACATATAGACTTGAAGTCTGATATTACAAGCCCAGTTCATTTCTGAATTTCAACCACTTCTAGTTCTATGTCCTGGCCAAATAACCTAATATGAGTCTCAATTGTCTCATCTATAAAATGGAAATTACCACCTACCTCACAGAATCATTGTGAAGATTAAGTGAGATAATCTATATGGTGTCTAAAACAAAAAACTCACTGCCATCAAGTCCAACTCATAGCGGCCCCTCCTTGGGTTTCTGAAGTGGTATCACTATAGAAGTAGATTGCCCAACCTTCCTTCCGAGGAGTGGCTGGTGGGTTTGAACCACCAGCCTTCTGGTTAGCAGTCAAATGCCTCAGGCACTACATCACCAGAGCTCCTATATGGTGTCTACCATGTAACATTTTAGTTCAAATGTCTCCTTTTAGCAGAATCCTGATCAGACAGAGGACTGGAGATATGGCCCACGTCTTGGTTCTCTAGTGCTGCTATAACAGACATACCACAAGTAGATAGCTTTAACAAACAGGAATTTATTCTCTTACAATTTAGAAGGCTAGAAGTCCAAATTCAGAGTGCCAGCTGTAGAGGCTGGGTGAGGGGCCCTTGGCCTTGGGCTTCAGCTCTGCCTCTTATTGCAGGCCCACTGGAGCTAGAGGCATCTTGTAACTCAGGCAGCTGCTGGCTGCTGAGGCTGACGAACCCGAAATCAGCAGGTAAAATGACACAGTCCCAAGGTCAGCAGGCCACTGGTTCAAGTTCAGGAACTGGAGATGAAAACTTAGCCAGATGAAGGATCCAAATATGCCAAAAGCTACAAACCTTTCTTAAAGCTTCTCCTTATATACTGGAAGTATACCACACCCTGAAGGCAACTACTTAGTTACTCACAGAAGATTCCATCATGAAGGTGATTATAGTCTCATCATGGGGAATAACTACATCCAGCTGCCCAGCCACTCAAAACTACAGCCTAGCCAAGTTGACACACAATGTTAACTACCACAGCCTGGGAAAATCATATTGTGAGGGACACCACCCTTCTTAACTAAACAAAAATTTAAAAAATATCTGAATTTACTCTCCAATATTCTGGAAAGAAAATCTCAGTTTCCAAACTGGAATATGCATATCTCTGGGGCATTTGACCACCAACCAGAAGGCTGGTGGTTCAAACCCACCTGGGATAGAGCTAGGAAGATAAGAGGGGATAGGAAGAAATAATGAAGGGAAGGGGTGGGTGTAGGGAGGAAGTGGGAAGAATGCTGTTACAGTGTGGAGATCTCAGTAAATGCCACTCCTCAGAAGGAAGGTTGGGCAATCTACTTCTGTAGAGATACTGCCTCAGAAACCCAAAGAGGGGTCACTATGAGTTGGATCCAACTCAATGGCAGTGAGTGAGTTAGTTAGTTAGTAGGGGGTACACAAAGTTTTTCAAGAGATCTATAAACAAGGCAGTCAACTTCCACACTCTTCCACAAACCTGATCTGCCTAGATAATTGAATAATCAATAAAGGACTTTCACTTATCAGACTACAACCATGAAAATATATAGGTCTTGCAGAGGCTCTCTCTATGTATATATTTACATGTGCTGGAAATATATCTATGCATGTAGTAGAACAAACAGGGGGCAAAGTTGTGAAAACATTAGTCATAATCAAAGACCTTGAGGGAATGAGTCAATGGGTAGGGAGCCTCAGGATCATAGTCTCAGGGGAAACTAAGGTCAATTGGCATAACAGTCCATAAGACAATGTTCTACATCCTACTTTGGTGAGTGGCTACTGGAGTCTTAAAAGCTTGTGAGCAGCCACCTAAGGAGCAACTGTTGGTCTTACCCGGTCTGGAGCAAAGAAGAGTGGAGAAAATCAAAGATGCAGGAAACAATTAGTCTAAAGGCCTAATGGAGCACATGAACACCAGCCTCCACAGCCCTGAGATCAGAAGAACTAAATGGAGCCTGGCTTCCGCTGCTGACCACTCTAAAAGGATCACAATAAGAGGTCCCAGATAGAGTAGGGGAAAATGTAGAACAAAACTCAAAATCATAAGAAAGACCAGGCTTACTGGTCTAATGAAGACTGGTGAAACCCTTGAGACTATGGCCATTAGACACCCTTCAAGCTATGAACTGAACCTAACCCCCATGACTCAACTGCCAGCCAAACAATAGAGACTAATAAGGTGAACAGTAACATCACGAGGGTATGCACTCATTACAACAGTCAAGCATGGAAGACCAAGAGGACAGCATTGGCCCAAGGATAGAGCTAGGAAGATGGGAGGGGATGGGAAGAAATAATAAAGGGAAGGGGTAGGTATAGGGAGGAAGTGGGAAGAACGCTGTTACAGTGTGGAGATTGCAGTAAATGTCACAAAACAGGATGTGTATGGATTGGAAAACCAAATTCCTCTGTAAACTTTCACCCAAATCACAATAAATAAATAAATAAAATGGAGGGCAGGGGGGGATTACAGCCTAGAAAACCCTGTAATGTATCAGACAGTGTTTCTCTGCTATTCATAAGGTTTCCCCTGGCCAATTTTTGAGAAGTGGATGGCCTCCTCCTTCTTCCTAGTCTGTCTTAGTCTGTAAGCTGCATTGAAACCTGTGCACCATGTGCAACTAACTCTACTGATGTCTGAAACACCAATGGCACAGCCTCAAGCCTCACAGCAATGTACAAGTCTCACAGGATAACAAATTGACAGACAAGTTTGTCTCCCTTAGCTGTTGGAAACCTCTGCGTCTTCTCCTTACCTAATTTCTACCTGGAAACTGCCACTGGCAGCAACCCTGGAACAGACCACAACTTCCGAGCTGATATGAGGACTTCTCTGTCCCCCTAATACTATGACTGGAGCCTACCCCCTTGGACTTCAGCATTTAATGTATGAGACCTGAGTGAGATTGCCCTTAATCCTTCAAGGAAAGCTCAGCTCTGATATCCCCAAGACCTGGTAACTTTGCCCAGCACCCACCCCAGCTCTGGGCCTCGTGCTCCCGTAGGCTTCCCAGGCCCAATGGACATCTGTCTGGAAGAGTTTTGATCATAATGAATTGCAATGATTTGTTTATGTATAGATTCCCCCAGCCAGTTTGAGAGGCTCTTGAAAGCAGTGGCTGTGCTTTATTCACTTTATATATCCAGTGACTGGCCCAGAGTATATTCTCCATTGATGTACTATAAGTTAGAGAGGGAGAAAGGCACTCAGGTGACAGTCTTGTACCCCAACCAAACTGCAAGCTGCTGGAGAACAGTGGCTTCACCCTCTCTTCTACCCCTCCTCCCCATGGTGAAACTGGCACAAGATTGGTCTCAGGGTGGGCATTTAGATAGTAATGGCTTCATTGAAGATTCAAAAATTCTCCACCTGTAGGGCTTCTGGATAATATCTTTATTTAGCTCAGGTAGCTGTTTGTAAAACATTTTTGGTTCTTAATCTCTTAAATGTAATAAATGCAAACATGCAAATACAATGCAGGCTACAACAATAATAAAAGGTCCGTGTATACAAACATTTAAAAAAGATATTTTTATACACGGCATAAAGAAAGGAGTCCAGTAGAAGGTGACTGAAATAACCGCTGCTCCTCCTCATTACCGCCCTGGTCCTGGAGCCTGGACACGAGGCCCCACAAGGCCAAGAGGCATCTCTGTTCCTGCCTGCAGGGATAGCAGAAGAAGGTGATCCTCCCAGGTACAGTGTCTTAGACTTGTGTGATCAGGTGGCTCCACCTTCTTTCAAGTGGGGCCCCCACTTTTGTGCTGGTATCTTGGGCTGTCTTCACTCTTGATAGTGCTCAGTTATTAAAGTCAGTCAGTCCCCCCCAGAGAGCTAGCCAGCTGCTGGCCCCAAGGGCTTCCAGAGAACTCTTCAGAGGTTCTCAGATGACCTCCAACCCTACCACACTCCCTAACTCAAGCACAATTCAGAAGTTTCCATCAGTTCCTGGGTGGCTTCTGCTATGCCCACTGTTTGTGATCAGCATGCAAAGGGGAAAGTCCAAGGTGGGGAGTAGGCATAATCCCTCAGGCTCATTCACATCCAGACAGCAAAAGTCAGCCAAACCACTAACTGTGGGTTTCCAGCTGAAGCTTAGACCACTGGGCCAGCACCCTGGCCTGGTTGCCCAGACAGTCCAGGTAAACAGGGTCTAGCCCTCAAGCACTCGGCCCCTAAGCGCGCAGGTGTGCCTGAAAGTGTTCACAGCGGGCATGCTTTATGGTCAGCCCATAGATGGGGGTCATGTCCACTTTCATGCCTGGTGACACACTAAACTCCACTTGCTGCAGCAGGATGGCCAGGAAGAGGAACACCTCCAAGCGGGCAATGGTCTCCCCAATGCACTTCCGTTTGCCCATGCCAAAGAGAATCACTCTCTCACTCAGTGCCTTGTTGATGGTGCCATCAGTAGTGAGAAATCTTTCAGGCCGGAACTCAGATGGGTCACCCCACACCTTTCTATAACAGAGTGAGGCAGTTGAAGTGGCAGCTTAGGGACTAGGAAGCATCAAGGGGTTTATCCCCCAGTCCCAAAGGGCAGGGAATGAGCAAGTGGCCCAGGGACAGGAGGGTTTGAAGCCTGGGAATAGGTGGGCCCAGCCAGCCCCCTCAACTTACTGGTCATGGTTTATCTGCCACTGGTTCACAAATACACAACGTCCCTTGGGTATATAAAAGCCACTCAGATTTGTGTCTCTTGTGGTACTGGGGAAGGAAAGAAGTTTGGTCAGTCTCAGGGTCACAAGGATATCCTCCCTGCCTCCCGTACCATGACCCAACACTAGCCCTGAGTCAGGTCATGGACTAGGGTAAGGTACAACATTAGACATCAGTGGATCAGTAGGGCCTCACCTGTGAGGGATAGTGAAGGGGAGGAAAGATGAATGTCGGAAGGTCTCCAGGATGAAAGCCTCCAGATAGGGGAGCTGGAGCCTATCAGAGAGTCGGGGCTGCCGTGCCCTGCCAATCACTGTGTCTGCAAAACACAAAGGACCAGATGGAGCTAAGGGGCTGCCCAGACCTTGGCCAGGCCCCTGCCTTGGGCCCTTTGAAGGGAGCCCTCACCTACCCAGCTCCTCCTGGATCTTTCTCTGCACTCTGGGGCTTGTCACTAGGTACATGAGGCTCCAGGAGATGGCAGTTGTGACTGTGTCAAACCCTGGACAGGGTAGAACAGAGAGAAAAGTTAGGCAGATGGCATGTCAGGAAAGTTGGGTACAGGAAAGACACAATAGGGTAGCTCATACCAGCTCCAAAGAGGTCCATGACAATATTAATGATCTTCTTGTCTGACAGTTGGATATTTGCATTCTCATCCAGCTTCTTGTCCTGACAATGTTCAATTAGGCTGTCTGTGATGTCCCTGATGTGACCCTGGGTAGGTGGGGTCCAGGTGAGCAAGATCCCATATGCAGACTTACCTCTCCATCTAGACCTGGTCCCTCATCATCCCTAGTACCTTTGCTGAAGAGGTGACCTCCCTCTAGGACTGCCATCCCAGCTACTCTCTGCCTCTCCAAGGTTCTCTTCTGCCTCAGAGTACTGGCACTTGACACATATCACCTGCTACCGTTACCATCCTGCCATGTTTTTAACCTTTTCTCTCTCTAAAGCTAGGAGATGAAGGCTTTAACTCTTCCTGGTTCCCATACAGCCAGCCTAGGGCCCTGCACAGAGTAGTTATTCAGTGAATATTACCCCCTGATGGATGGGTGGAAGGGTTTGTCAAGAAAAAGTCCTATGTCCAAGCCAAGGATGGAGTCAACTCCACTACTGGCTTCTAAATCCCAGGTGAGGGCTCCCTGAGAGCCTGTCAAACCCCATGCTGCTCCTATGTCTGACCTACTGGCCCATGAACCTACCTGCCCCCAACAGCCCACCTGTTTCTCCCTAGTCTGTACCTTTTCAAATGTTTTGTAGTGCTCCTTGACTATCTTCTGCATGAAATTGTAGAACTTTTCATTCAGTTCCTTGAATGCTCTTAGAGTGGAGTTGGGCAGGTAGCGGAGGATGGGGATGAAGTCGGCTGGGTTTCCTGAGGCAACCACCTCCCCAAAGTCATTACTCAAGTTGATCAAGCTAAGCAGCTCTTGATGGTCATGGTCATAGCGCTGGCCAAAGCACATTGCAGAGATGATGTTGGCCACCGACACCACCATATATCTATAGGGGTCAAAATGTCCAACCTCTGCCATCAGCTCTTGGAACTTGTTGATGAGGTACTCAGCCTCCTTGCTTACATGTTCCTCCAGATAGCAGGAGGATGAGGAAGTTGGGTCTGAGGCCATGGAGAAGCTCTTCAGGGCGTTCTGGGCTAGGCGCCGGCGTGCAGCCCACACTGGTCCAGAGTCAGGATTGAAGGTCATGCTCTGGCCGTCAATGATCAGGGTGAAGCTGTAGAGGTCAGGCCGGCCCTTGAAGTCATCACCCTGCCTCACCAGGGCCTGCCGGATGGTGTCCAGGCCACTCAGCACCAGCACAGGAGTGCAGCCAATGCGCACCTGCAGCACGTCCCCATACCTCTGGCTCAGGTGTGTCAGTGCCAGGTGTGGGCTCTTCCCCAAGGTCAACACATGCCCAATCAGGGGCCAGCCCCAGGGCCCCGGAGGACTCTTCAGGCCTTTAGGGACCCATGGCCTCCAGGCCCTGACCACCCAGAATACCAGGCAGAAGATGGCAGAGGCCAGGAGGAGCTCCGTTGCTGAGATGGGGAGTCCAAACACAGGAAGCATGATCAGCTCAACAATCTCAAGGTGGCTTCTAAGAGGTAGTACAGGAGGGAAAGAGTGATACATCAGAATGGAGGATGAGATGGGCCAATATCCTAAAGTGTCAGCATGTTGGTCAAGGAAAAGGGAAACCCTCTCACCCAGAACTACCCACTGTGGGTAAAGAGGAAGAGGAGGTGGGGAGAAGCTGTTTGTTTAGTTCTGACTGGATGCCAGGAATATCAGTCATTGCTTCTATCAGTCCTGTCCACAAGCCTGTGAGGTAGGCTGCAATGAGGCTCAGAGAGGTTAACTTACCCAAAGTTAGTGGTGCCAAAAAGTGTTGTCTCTAGGCTCCCAGCCCAAGTTGCCCAATTCCAGAACACCTCTCTTAACTGCTGCACCAGTCTAAAACAACATTTTCCAAATGTCAGTGTGATTTCCATATAACACTCATACTATCACTTCAATGCTTTCTGTAAAATCAACTTTAAATCCACCCACTTAGCATCACCCAAAACAGTAACATCTGTGTGGAAGTATGAGCTTGTATTTTTCCTAATACATATTAAAATAAACACATCAATATGTATCACCAAAAATTCCCTTAAGTACTACCCATGACTTGGGAAAACACTGCTATCAGAAGAATTAGAGATCATCAGCTCCATTAACTTCATTCATTTCACATTTGGGGAAACTGACCTCCAGAGGAGGCACCAGCTTGCCTAGAGTCACCTGTCAGTCAGTGACAGAGCCAGGACTAGGGCTTAGAGCTCTTTGAAAAAGTTCCCTGGGAAGATTCTAGCTCCTGTCACAGGTACCATCTTTGAAGAGTAGTCAGATCGATGGAGGAACCACCCTAGAAACCTCAGTTCTCTACTGCTCAATCCCAGTCTCCAGAAAATCCCACAAGACCCTGGGACAGAGTGAGGAGGGGATAGGGTACAAGGAAGGCCACTCCCCAAGCCACACTTCTCTCAGCCTCAGGCATATGAGGCTCTCTAAGCTCAAATGACCCACAGTTTGAATATAGCTGAGAATACCCAAGGAGGGGTCGCTATGAGTCAGGTCCACAACAGCAACAAGCCAGATCCAGGCTCCTGGTCACAGAAGTCCAAGGCAGGGTTTTTGTTGTGCTTGATTCTCAACGAATGAATGGTCAAGGCTTCCTCTACAAGCCAGTCACTAGAGTTGTTGTTGTTGTTGTTGTTATATGCCGTTGAGTCGGCCCCGACTCATAGCGACCCCTCCTTGGGTTTCCGAGGCAGTGTCACTACGGAAGTAGGATTGCCCAACTTTCCTTCCGAGGAGTGGCTGGTGGGTTTGAACTGCCAGCCTTCTGGTTAGCAGTCAAGTGCTTTAGCCACTATGCTACCAGAGCTCCTAGTCACCAGAGAACAGAGACTAAATGGAAGATTCCCACTGACCAGGCTACAAGAAAAGTCCAGACTGGAACTAGGGAAATCAGGAATGGATCTACACTTAACAGGGGCTGAGACCTTTCTTTCCAGGCTTAGTCTAGGGCAATCTGTAGAGAAGGTGTGCATAGACCACTCTCTTGGCATTGGGCTCTGACTGAGCATTTGCCTAGTGTCCTGGACTGGAGGTCAGGAGAGCCAGTGCTCCAAGCTCCAAGGAATATCCTTAGACTGGCATTTTACCTTTCTGAGCTCCAGTCATATCACCTAAGAGAGAACTTAGCACAAGATCACCCTACCTGGATCCCAGAGAAGAGAAGATGCAGATTTGCCCTGGAGAACCTTATAGTTTGATAAGGTTCCCTCACAGAAACCACCTGAGACAAGGGTCCCACTACATGGGGACTGTATGGTTCCTACCACAAGTACTATAGCCATGTTCATAGTCTAGGGAGGCTTCCTGGAGGAGGTGAATCCCAAAGCACACTCGAGCCCTGACTTCCTGAGTGAACTATGGACATTTTCAGGTGCATTGTAGAGTGCATGGTGTCCCCTTCCTCACAATGGGTGTCCCAAGGACCTCTAGCCTTAATAAGAAGGTAGGAAGCTAAGAGGATGGGACTGGAGAGTTCTCAGGGTCACGTTGCTGTTCCAGCTTCCTGCAGCTGGTGGTCTCACACACTGACACTGACTGCCCCAAAAGAGAGGACAGAGAAGACAGTCAATGGGTTAGGGAAGGCTCTGGGGCAGTACCCAGGGCTCCTGCTTACGTCAGCCCCTTTTGTCCAGCCCAGTACATCTCAGCTCCAACAAGTCACCCATTGGGAGAGTAGACCCAGACTAGGGTACATCTGTTAAGAACCCAGCCTGCCTCCTTAATCTTCCTCAGCCACCCAGGGAAAATCTCTTATCACATGGCCTAAGGGAGAGACTGAACACACTCCCAACTTCTCTCACCTTTGTCTTCACTCCAGCCTCCCAGGTAACACTGATGGGGAAAGCCCAAGAAGGCCAGCAAGTCGGTGGGTAGTGAAGCTCGAGCCTGACAGGGGCACCATCTCAAAGTCCTGCTCTTCCTCTGGACTTTGTTTCCCTACTAGGGAACTTGACTCCTGGCCACTTAGGACATTCTTAGTCTCCTTTCTCAGAAGCGCTGAGCAAGTGACTACCTAAGAAGACCTGGAGGCACCAAGATTTTCCTTTTATTGGCAGGGAATGGGTGAGCCAGAAATCCCCAGCACTCACCTGTGTGTTCGAGCTAAGCTGGGAAGAGCAGTCTCTGGAAGCAGAGACCCCAAAGAGAAGCAGGGAAGTTTCCAAGAAACTGTCACCTTCAGGGTGAAGGCTCAGCTACCTTTATAGGCAGCTATGATCATGGCCACGCCTCCTTCCCTGGAGCGTGTAGATGGGGCTGGGGGAGGGGCAGCCTAAGGGGGGCTAGTAACTCTAGGATGGGTGGAGAAGGCAAGGAAACAGGCAAGAATCCACTACAGTGACACTTCATCTAGGTGCAGGCACATAAAGGGGTGAGGGTTGGAGACAACTTAGACTTCCCAATTCCAAGGTGCCCCCTGGACAGTGCAGAGCCCAGGTGAGGCGGGGAAGGGGGAAGGGGGTTAGGGGACAAGTACATAGACAGCCTGGAGAAAGGGTATGGGGACCCCATTCCCGGGCATGGGGACACTTCTCCCTCATTTTTGCACCTATCAGAACCCTGGACGTGCAAGTACCGCCCTCTCCCTGAGGGGGTGGGGTTGTGGAGGCTGGCTGGCAGGCAGAGGCGGGAGTGAAGGATGATGACCTCCTTCCCCCGGGTTATTGAGTCCCAGCTCGCGTGAGAAGCGCGGCGACCCCAGCCCCGAGGTCACAGGGGCCGGAAGGCCAGAGGCGCCAGTGGACTGGCCCCGGCCCCCAGAGCCCTCCCGCCTGACAGGAGTTTGCGCTCCTGGACAGCTGGACAAGAATGGATCGTGAACACTCAGTCTGACTGAGCGTTCGCTAGCGGCTTTAGGGCCACCTTAAAGAAAAAAGGCATACTGAAACCTAGGGGTACTTCATCCGGGACCCACTAGCCTTCGACTTTCCCTTTAGGCGCATGGGGTTGCTAGTTCCTTGGCGGGGCAGAGAAATTTGGTAGCTAATGGGGCTGCGTGGCTAGCTCTGGGTGGCAATGGAAAAGGATAGAGCGCAGCCTTCAGGCCGGGCAGGAGAAGCGGCCTGGAATAGAGAATGGGGCCGCAGATCCCGTCCCAGGCTAGCGTGCTCGTGTCTGGCACATCCCTCCAGGGGCAGAGGTCACTCGGCCTGTCCCCGCCCCACCTGGAGGGGGGCGCGGTGCCAGCGAGTTGCGTGAGAAGGGCCCGGAGGGCCGCCTAACTCTCTGTCCCAGCGCGGGTCCCTGCACAGTCACGCGAGGGGTGGGGGGGGGAGACAGTCCGGGGGGGGGGGGAGGTAGTCGGGGCGGGGCTCTTAAAGGGCCAGTCTCTCACGAGTGGTGGGGTGGAGGGAGATCAATAGCGGACCCAGAGCTCCCAAGTCCCACAGGAGCCCCGCGAGTGCTCTATTGGATGGGGGAAGGGGCGGTGCAAAGGGCCCTGGCTCGCGTGCGGAGCTGGGCGCCTGCGTGTGTCCGCGTTCTTGGTCCAGGCCTGTGTCAGGACACGCAGCCTCAGCACTGCCCGGCACGCCTGGCTGGTGGCCTCGGACGGTGTCCCCGCCCCTGTCGGGCTGAAATAGGGTGTCGCAGTCGGTCCGACTCGACGGCACATAACAACAACAACAGCTATTTCTTGTTAGCTCAATCTGTCCCCAGTTAAGGTCATCACCACCATTCCACCTCCCCACCCCTGGTCCACCGCACTCCCTATCCCAGCCAATGGCCCAGGCCAGAAAACAGCCTCAGATGTCGCCGCATATATTGCACAAATATTTAACAAGTTCCTACTCTGTGCCAAGTGGTATTCTGGGCACTGGTGATAGACGTAGAGGAGAAGAATATTGACAAGGTTCTTACATTCTGGTGGGGGGAGACAGGTAATACACCACAAAATGCAGAAAATATCAGAAGTTGAAAAGTCTTGCAGAGCAAACTAAAACAGAGAAAGTGTAGGAATTACTTGGGGGTGGGTTGGAAATAGGGTAGTCAGAGAAGGCCTCCCAGAGAAGGTGATACTGACCAGAGGCAGAGAAGTGTGTGGGATGGAACCAGGCAGGTATCTAAACAGTGGGTCTTGAGGGAGGGAGCAGTGTGTGTGTGGCATGGGGGGGGGGGGCACTGAAAATGTGCTGCAGCATTTTTCCATGGTGACTGGAGAATACTGGCATTTAATGCCTAGGGAGATGGTATGCCCATGGGGACAGCCCTGTCCCATGTCCAAGGAGCACCCCCACTGAGAAGCTTGGAATTTCCTCTGTGTGAGATGGAGACATTAGTGAGCTCTGAGCAGAGCGAGATCACTGGCTGCAGTGCAGAGAATAGACCAAAGGGACAGTGCCACATTTCTCCACTCTGATATCCCTTCAACCTCACTGCTACAACCTAGCCCAGGTCCCCATCATTGCTCCCTAGAGTACTTATCAGCCACCTCATTAGGTCCCCCATTT